AGAAGATCCACACGAACAATGAGATATATTGGCAACTGAATTTGATTGAGAAGAAGGCGTTTCGGGTCTGAATTTATAGGACAAAATGTGTTCGGTCACTATCGGCTGCTAAAACGCGTTACTGTCCTTTTCTCTTGAAACCGAGTTATTCAAATGATTAAGCATTGACTGCATAAAATCTCTTTTTGTCAAACATGTATTTAGGCATTTTATATAGAAATATTTCTTAAGACAGCTAATGTTGGAAACGTAATGTCAAAAGTCAGGTTATATAACTATTAATTTAAGGCTTAGAAGTTTAAAAAGAAAAAAAAATGCTAAACCTCCATTTGGAACGAACAATTTAGCCCATGTTCGATCCACATTCTTGAAAAATGCATTCTTACCCTACTCATTTTCAATCATACATTCATAAATAAAATAATGTTATATGTAAATTCAAAATTTTCTTTATTTTTTAACCACATATTTTCTATCACATCACTTGAAAAAATGCATTATTTTCTCCACAATGTGTGTCAAACACGGCCTTAATTTATAAGTAGAAATGAGTGGTATTTAAGTATACAATATTTATGGCCACATTAGAATGTGTAATTGAAAATGAAATTTGATCATTTAAAAATAATTTAAAATCACTTAACTCGTGAGCATTCATTGCCATGCAATTTCTTGCATGCTGGTGTACAGCTCTTATGCACAGCATCAACAGTTGAAATTTCTTTACTTTGAACGGGTAGTCTAGAGAGGAATCAATGATAAAGCTCAAACTAACTTGTATCGGATTATCCATTGTCTATCGAGGGAAGCACTTCTTCCATACCAATTCATATTTCAATATTATTTCAATAAATTTAATGATTGTGAATATAGTAGGAAAATGAAAGGGAAGAAATCTATGCATTGAGTGTAGACAAGAATTTGATTAACCACAAATTGAGGATGATTTTAACGTGAGGTGATAAATAACATTAAAATGGCGTTCACACATGTGCTTAATTGACTTTATCATTTCATCACAATTCACCTTTCACATTATATGTGGATAATCCTCCATTTGAACATATAGTATTATTCTTTTTTCTTTGGTGCATGATACACAATTAAGTGAGTTGATTTAAACTATGTTTACCCTAAAAATGATAATAATAAAAAACAGATTAATTAATCAATGTCATACTAAAATTTCAAATTTCTCAACTGTCCTTAGATGTCAACGAGGAAATAGTCAATCCATCTTGCATCGCCATAAATTTAAATTTGATAAAGTTCAACAGTTGATGCCAACTAAGAAATTCTATGGCGAGAATATATTATTTATTAAACAATCATGCTACATGTATATCAAGTTTGACATCATGTGGATCAGTAGATTTTTATACATTGATTTTAACATCACTTTTTCAATCAATCGTAATGTTAACCTTGATATGAACAAGAAATGTACAAGAAGCATAATTATTCGTGAAATGCTTAAATAGGGTTTGACCAATACAGATTTTCATCATCCGATGATAAATGCTAGATCAAATCCATCATGTAGTAAGGTCCGTTTCCAAGAAAGAGACATGTATTTTTAATCATGTAGCCTGCCTCTACATCAGTCCTAAATTGTTTTTAATTTTTAAGTAAGCGTGATTCACCACGTTTTATTGCAGAGTTTCTGCCAATAATTGAACCCCCGATGGATGGATTCCATCCAAATGTCTATTAGTTGACCAGGAAATTGAGTTTGACCATCTTTTTATAATTTTTAAAAGACCATAATGGTAATTTTATATTTATAACATTATCTTTTAAAAACTAATAAAATAAATAAACTATCTATCATCTTCTTCACCTACCCCACAACCATCCCACCCCACCCCCAAAATCCCTAAAATCAAAATTAGACCATCCCAAAATTCTCCCATAAAAAAAAAAAAAAAGACTTAAACGACGATTTACATGAACGAGCATTCTCCAGCCACGATTGTTATTGCTTTTGGAGTTTTAGGTCCTGGGAATCCGATAGTTGAGGGTGGATTTCGACATCGGAGGAACAACATAAGACCGTCGACGATGGTCAATGTGATAAGGGAATAAACGTATTGAAGAAAGTGTGAGGATAGTCGAAGATAGTGGCTGGTCCGAAATGGAAGACATTCATCCGCTAGTTCAACAAGACCTTCGACGATGGAGGGCATGGTCAGTTGTGTGTTTGTGTGGCTGGTGTAGCATTGAGAAGGTTGGGAGTGAAAGGGGTTGAGATAAGGAAGCCACAGCAACTGCAAATTGTTAGGTACTGATTTATGTAATAACACAGAGGTTTTGGTTTGTTGCGTGTATGGGGGTGACGGTGGTAGGCTGTGGCTGATGACAACGATCGAAGAAGATAGGTGGCTGGATGGATTTTAGAGTGGCGGTGGGTTTGGGGGACGATAAAGAATATCTAAAGTTTTTTATTTTTCTTTAATTTTTTTTTTGTTTCTCTAATTAAATTTTAACTTATTTTAATATAGTAAATGGAAAGTTATTATTTTACAATTTACAAAAATATTAAAAATGTGGTCAAATTCAATTTTTTGATCAACTAACTGATATTTGGATGGAATATATCCATTGGGGTTTTGGCCGCAACGTTTCGGAAGGTGAGGGGTGATGGTTGTAATGAATGAAAGGTTAGGAAAAAGTCTATAACTGTTTGAAAGGTTTGGGACCTCTACTGCAATTACCCCTTAAATTTAGGTTACCAAGGTTGCAAAAGTCTATAACCATGAATTCTTTTTGAAAGGATATATCCAAAGACAAAATCATAATGCACTAAAACTTGATACCAAATTGAAATTTTCAATTGTCCCAGAAACGTTTTCACAATGCAACGGAATCACATAGTCTTGGATTAAACTAGTTGATGGCACTACAGATTCTTATTATGACCCTATTTTGGCCGATGAGTAGTTTGAAGTCTCCCATTTTGATCATGGCATTTCCAAAATCAGACATGAATGTTCTTGGATTTCTACTGTACTCGGAGACATTATTGTTGGTTGATCCTCCACTAAATAAAACTTGATATGATTGAAGATAGAAGTGTCAAAACGGACGGGTCGGCCAGACCTGTGCAAACTAGCCCGTAAAAACCGGGACCGCGAGCCGACCAGTGACCCGTACGGGCGGTTCACGAGCCATGGAGGTGTAACCCGCGGGTTTCGCG